TGATATGGGATTACAATAGATTGGTGGAGTCCACGGCACATGTTGAAATTACGCTTGAAGGGGAGGAAAAGAAGCGACGACTTAAGAGACAAGGGTTTACCGAATCTCGAGGGGGTTCTATGGCATCCAAAAAGTCAGAGAGTTTTACATCTTCTCATCTACCGCCATTACAGGCCGCATCATCAAATCATATACCGGGAAAGAGTACAAATAGTACGGGACAAAGTGGAATCACTTATTATCGGTGTGGTGAGTGGGGACACAAGTCCGTTACCTGTCCACGGAGTGGTAATCAACCACGGCAACCTCTACTCGTTCTCAAAACTTGGCCTTAGGGGGAGGTCAAACGCCCATTTGTTATCAATGTGGCTAGCCGGGTCATATGAAGAATTTTGTCCCCAACTTACCGGAACAACTAGTGCTTCAGGGTTTTAGGCAGGACAAGGCCAAAGATAGACACAGCAACCGATTCATTTGGGCAGACTGCTAGAGCTATACATGGGGCTACCTCTGCACAGTCAATGCAACATGCCTATCATCAGAGGGTTGAGCAAAGTGAACAGAGGCCCCAAGGGAGAGTCTATGCGGTTACTGCATCCGAGTAGTCGACTGGACCGATGGTGATGCGAGGTACATATCTTATACATAATACATGGGCCAATGTGTTAATAGACATGGGGGCATCTCACTCATTTATAACATCAACATTCGCATCCATGTTGGGGTTAAAGGTTGAACCATTAGAATCTTCTCTTGCGGTAGAATCACCGGTTGGGGTCCGTGGGTGTGTGATAGAGGTCACTGATCGCCGACTTCCTTTTAGTTTGGTATTGTTAGAGATGACTAGGTTTTGATGTCATTCTCGGTATGGACTAGTTGTCCTCGTATCGTGCTGTGATAGATTGTTATCGTGGGAGGGTTACTATATGTACAGTCGGCGGTGACTGTTTCTATTTTCTAGGGGATAGGTCTGATAAACTTTTACCGCCATTATATGACTCCCGTAGTCGAAGTAAATTCTTCTCTCTTTTTGCAACCTTGGTGAATGACAGAGATGGTGTAGTGCAAAGGGTATTTCCTAGAGTGATTTGTGAGTATTTAGATGTTTTTCTTGAGAACCTTACCAAGCTACCACCACATTGTGAGGTCGAGTTTTCTATAGACCTAGTGTTGGACACAGCACCTATTTCCATGTCACCCTGTCGATTCGCTCTGGCAAAGTTGCTTGTTTTGAAGGAATAGTTACAAGAGTTGTTAGATAAGGGTTTTATATGTCCTAGTACTTCGCCATGGGGAGTACCGGCCCTCTTTGCGAAGAAAAAAGATGGTTCCTTGCGGCTATGTATCGATTATCATAAGCTAAATAGAGTCACAGTCAAGAATAAGTACCCATTGCCTAGAATAGATGATCTTTTTGACCAACTCAAGGCTCTCAATATTTTTCAAAGATAGATCTAAGATCGGGCTATCATCAATTACATGTGAAGAAAGAGGATATTCCGAAAACAGCCTTTCGTACTCGTTATGACCATTACGAATTTCTTGTAATGCCGTTTGGTCTAACCAATGCCCCTGCCACCTTTATGGACTTGATGAATCGTGTTTTCTGAGAATATCTTAACAAATTTGTGGTCATTTTTGTGGACGATATTCTTATATATTCGCCCTCCAACGATGAACCTGAGGTGCACCTTCTCATTGTGTTGCAATTACTTAGGGAGCACAGGTTATGTGCCAAGTATGAAAAATGTGAATTCTGGCTCTCCAAGGTGAAATTCTTAAGTCACGTCGTTTCTAAGGATGGGGTTGCCGTGGATTCTTCAAAGATTGAGGCAGTACAGAATTGGGAGCGATTTAGGAACGCATTTGAAATTCGTAGTTTCTTGGGTCTTGCCGGTT